TTGTGTGATCTCAGAGGAACGAACACACAGGAACAAAAACAGAGAGACGAACACAGAGAAACGAACACAGAAACGAACACAGAGGAAAAAAAATGGAAGGAACACACAGGAAGGAAAATAGAAGAACGAACACAAACGGAAAGAATGTAGAAGGAAGGGACCTATAGGTAGTGAATAGAACATCAGAAGGATGGTGTGAAGGCTTACTCAGCCCTGTAATAACTTCAGACAGTATTACCAAGGCTGGCTCCTCCTCAGGAAAATTAATGAATAGAAAAAGAAATAATAACAAAAATAAACACTATTATATAGAAAATATAAAATATAAAACACTTAAATATGAAATATTAATCCTACATTAAAGAAAATGAAAAATGAAAAATATAAATGATAACTGAATTCAACATTAATTTAAACTTGGGTGTCTGGTGTTGGTGACACTGTTGTTGAAATTGTAGCCGTTGCTGATGATGGGGGGGAGGGGGTCGCAGGTGTTGGTTACAACCCACCGGTTCGTTCTTCACAGTATAGCCGTGAGTATTATATCCTGATGACAGGAAAGCAGGTTCTTTACCACTGCAATGATGAGGGGTTACGTCCTGCAATTTCATACAGGTGCACAGGTAATTAAATCCAAAAAGGGGAAGTCTCAGGACGTTAGTCCATCTCCATCAGTTTTTCTCGTTGATTGACAGGTGACCCTCTCTGTCATCCAAGCTGAAAAGATAGACAGGTTACCCACTGCTTAAAAAATCACTCTCCATGATAAGTACAATACCTAAAAGATGTGGTGATTATTACAACAATCAGCTTAGAGCAAGACTGAAAGGACTAAGTTTATTATTGGTCAAAAGTGAAGCTTTCAACCAATAAATCCACTAGAATACAAGGCAGGCATGTACTTACAGTAGTGCTGGGAGCTGTGAGTCTAGTGATTACTGTTTGGACCGGAGCCACACACGTCACCTTTCGGGGGGGGGGGGGAAGAAGGAGGGGAAGGGATAGCGGGAGCTAGACTGACCCTACCTTAACAAGCAGCCGGCAATCAAACTATCACTTTAGGAGTGGGGGAGAAAAGGCGGGAGCTGGACTTACCCTACCTTAACAAGTAGCCGGCAAGCAAACCATCACTTTCGGGGAGGGGGAAAAAAGGCGGGAATAGCGGGAGTTTGACTTACCCTACCTTAACAAGTAGCAGGCAATGAAACTATTGTTACAATATACTCCCTCGCTACTCCTATCTATTGAACTTTTCCCTCACGGATGGAGTTAATAATTAAGAGACCAATTAAAGGAACAAGGAACAAATGGAGAGTGGGATGTAATGAGGGAGGAATGCAGAGCAAAGAGATGGGCAAGATAAGATGCAAAACTAAAGAAACGACATAATATAAAAAATGGCTAGAAACAGAACAAAATAAAAAAGCCTAGAGAAACCGAAAAGGACACTAGAGTGTTTTCCATTTGGTAGATTAAACTGTGGCGCTGCTAATGAGACCCAAATAGAAAACACATTAGTGCCCTATTCGGTTTCTCTAGGGCAGTGTATACCAAATAAATTTTCCAGAGAGGTCTCATTAGCAGCGCCACTGTTTGGTCTACCAAATAGAAAACAACCTAGTTCCCTATTCGGTTTCTCTAGGGCAGTGTATACCAAATAAATTTTACAGAAGGGTCTCATTAGCAGCGCCACAGTTTAATCTACCAATGGGAAAACACACTAGTGCCCTTTTCGGTTTCTCTAGGGCGGGGTATACCAAATAAATTTTCCAGAAAGGTCTGATTAGCAGTGCCACAGCATCTCACAAATAGAAAACACCTAGTTCCCTTTTCGGTTTTTCAAGGGCTTGAAATAAACCCAAAAAAATTTTCCAAAAGGGGGGTCTGTTAGCAGGCCCAAATTTTTCTACCAAAGAAAACAAATTGTTTCCTTTTTTCGGGGTTTCCCCCAAAGGGCCCCTGAAAACCCAAAAAAATTTTCCATTTTCT